GGGGATGGTTAAATGAAATGAGCTCCCTAATACTCACTGAAAAAGCAATGAGCAACAAGTAACAATTTATTTATCTAACTCTAATAGTGAACAAATTAACAGACCTACTAGCAAACTGAACAATTCCCCCTTAACTACTAACTATTCTTGAACGGAACAAAATTCTAATGGCATGCTGTTCCAATAAATACAAGTCCCACTTATATAAACCAAAGTAATAAGAAAAATGCATTAAAGCTTAGATTCTCAAAACTACAGCTGGGATGTGTCTTCTGGAGTGATCCACATCTTTTCCGCTTTTCTTTAGTCAGGAATTCTTTCTTCGTTGAATCCTTTTGTCAGGAATATTAGTTAATAGTGCTATGGTACCTTTTCAGATGGTGCTTAATGAGAGAGCTTAAAGATTTCTGTGAGAGCCAGAGTTTTGTTCTTCCGATGGTAGTTCAATAACATACAATACTTAAAACTTGTGGCTATTGATTAGAATGTAATTTCTGTTTCTAGTTTGCTATTCGATATTTACCATCATAAAATTCTTGCTATAATATTAACTCCTAAACTACTTCAGCTTATTTTGAATGCATATTAAAGGGCATGCTATTGAGTCTAAATATGTCCTAGGCCAATAAAATCCTGCATCTCAAACATGGTTAGTTTAATTGGATTCGGAATCCACAATGTGTTTAAGGTACACTTCCACATTTTCAATTCTAATCCCATTATCTAAAATGACAGTCAATGTATCTGTGTACATGGAGAGAACACGCAGGAAAATAATTCCAACTTGCATACCTTTTGGCATCTGAGAAAATTAATGCATATTTTTAAGATGCTATTTCTCTGCATAAAATTAGGAGTACTTTGAATAAAAAATGGACAATCCTAGATGAGTCTTCTCTTTTGTAAATATTCATTCAAGTATTTTGAATAGTGGTAAGGCCAATTAATTAGAAATCCAGAGGCCCAGGTAAATGCATTGAGGTTGTAAGTTCAAACCTCAACACAGGAGCTAGTGGATTCTTTTCAAAATGCAATAATAAAATCTGGAATGTAAACCTGATATTTGTAATACCCAAAACATTAACTGTTTCTTTCCTCCAGGTGTTGCCTGGCTGGCTGTGTTCTTCCAGCCTCATGTTTGTCCACCTTGGATTCCAGCATCTGCAGTTTTTTTGTCTCTAACAAAATTCATAATGATGACCATGAAATTATCATCACTTGTCCTAAGTGTCCTTTAGGGAAAGGAAATCTGCCATCTTTACCTAGTCTGGCCTACATGTGACTCCAGATCCATATTAATGACTCTTGCCAAGGATTTCAGAGGGCAGTTAAGTTGCTCAGTTCAAAAGCATTAGAGGATGGGCATCATCACCTCCAGCCTACCAGATTGCCTTGATCCTTTGCAATTTGCCTACTGTTGCAACAGATCTATACCAAACACTATCTCCCTGGCCTTACACTCATCTGGATAATGAGGATACCTACATCAGGTCCTGCTTATTGACTACAGCTCCGCTTTCAACACCATAATTCCAAACAAACTCATTTCCAAACTCCAAGACCTAGGTCTAGACTCCCTCCTGTGCACTGGATCCTTGAGTTCCTCACCCATAGATTGCAATCATTAAGAATAGACAACAACGCCTCTTCCGTGATAATCTTCAACATTGGTGCCCCGCAAGACTGCATACTCAGCCCCCTACTATACTCCTTATACACTCATGACTGTGTGGCCAAATTCCACCCCAACTCCAATTACAGTTTGCTGACAACACCACTGTTGTAGGTTGGGTCTCAAACAACGACGAGCCAGAGTACAGGAAAGAGATTGAGTGCTTAGTGGTGTGGTGAAAAGACAATCTCTCCACAATGTCAGCAAAACGAAGGAGCTGGTCATTGACTTCAGCAATCATAGTGGAGGGCATGCTACTATCTGCATCAATGGTGCTGAGGTGGAGATGGTCGAGAGCATCAAGTTTCTGGGAATGATGATCACCAACAATCTGTCCTGGTCGACCTGCGTCAATGGTCACAAAAGCACAACAATGCCTCTACTTCTTCAGGAGGCTAAGGAAATTCAGCATGCCCACAAAGACTCTTACCAATTTTTAAAGATCCATCCTGGAAAGCATCCTATCTGGATGCATCACCGTGTGGTATGGCAAGTGCTCTTTCCAAGACTACAAGAAACTATAGAAAATCACGAACACAGCCCGGTCTATCACACAAACCAGCCTTCCTTTCTTTGAATCCATTTATACTTCTTGCTAGCTTGGGAAAGTAACTAATATAATCAAAGACCCCTCCTACCCCAGTTATACTTTCTTCCATCCTCTTCTATCAGGCAGAGGATAAAGAAGTTTGAATACACATACTGACAGATTCAAGAACAGCTTCTTCCCCACTTTTAACAGACTTTTCAATGGACCTCTCGAATGTTAATGTTGATCTCTCTCTCTGTGCACCTTCTCACAGTGGCTGTAACATGGTATTCTCCACTCTATTCTGCTACCCTGATGCACTTTGTATGGCATGATCTGTTTGTATGACACGCAAAACAACACTTTTCACTGTATCTTGGTACTTGTGACAACATTAAGTCAAACTCAAACTCAAATTCTGGCCTTGCCAGTTACATCCACATCAAGTGAAGGAATAAATTTTTAAAAAGCACTTGTGCCTCAATTTTTAGCATTGTGCAAGGGCTTATATTCACAGTTGAAGAAACAGTTTTGATGTGATTGGGAATGTTTTAAGGCAATGCCTTATATCTGCAATGGAGAGTGTATTTTAATTCAAGCATTTTTGGAACATGACAAGCTATGAGCATTATGCTTTGTTCCAGTGTAAACAATTTGATTAAAATTAGTTCAAATTCTTTTTTAACTTTGTGGAGAGAATGAATTGGCAGTCGAATAGATTGAACAATAATTTTCATTCATTTACTATCAGTAGCTGAAGAGCTTTTAAGTCAAATGTTAGGCTAAAAACACCATTTCATGTGATGTGTTCCAGAAATTTGTTTCCAAATACCACACATTTCCTTGTAAATGTGATGTAAATAATGAGCATAGGGAAGGATATTGAAGATGACTGGAAAGTTCTGACCCATCAGATCTGTGATCTGGTGCTTTCATTTATATATATATCTTTTGAGCATTTTCAATAATTGACAAGAGACAGGATTTTATATTGCTCCAAAGTACTAGTAAGGGTATTATGAGAGTAAAGTATGCATTATCATTAAAAATAAAGCTAAGGCCCATGCTGGCAATGTTCTCACATAACACTACAACGCAGATGACGTGTTAATGTTGACGAGCATAGGTAGAGCTGTTGTATATCATTTATACAGTAAAAAAGTTGCATTCCTACAATCAAAATCCTAATATTAATACAAATTTGCATTTTTGCAAGAGCAACAAAGTCTCCTATGTCTGATACTGTGTAATTTTGTTGATCTAATTTACATCCAAGCAGAATTCTTGATTTTCTTAAACAATTCCACACAGCACTTGTATAGATTGGAATTATTTTCAAGCATTTTTTTTTTCTGGTAAAAGTCCGTTTGGTAGATTGTTTAAACATCATTATCTTGTGTATGGATTTTAGGTTTTACATATTAAAATCTTTGAAATGTATTTGTAAATTTCAAATGTTTATGTTTGTAGTTTATATGGTTGTCTACTTTCACTGAAATGGCTGTAATATTGCTTACTTTCTCTAGGATCAGGCAACTTTGAAATCTATCACATTTTTTTGATTCTCTATTATTTTTATTGCTGACATTTAACTGTAGAATTAATAATTCTGTACACCTCTCTGATGCAAAGGCAATTCTTTTGAATAGATCTCATCAGCTTGAATGTACCTGAAGCTTTTAGTGCAGATGAAAATCACAAATTTCTTTCTAAAATTGCAACATGAAAGACTTTCATGAAGAAACAGTGATGAACATGAAGTCTGCAATTCTGTTGAATAATACAGAGCAAAATTAATTTTGATGTAAGTTAAAGCTAAGTGCTGCAATAGCTGGGAACATCAACACATTGCTAATTCGTGCCAATATATTCATTGGCTGCTAACATCAACAGTGCTAGATTTCTATTTTTCTTCAGCAGTATTTCAGTATTAAGCATCTATTTTTGTTGAATATACCAAGTAACGTTAGTCAGGAAAGTGTATCTTTAAGCCTATTACAAAATAAATAATTGTTGCCTTTGTCCAGATGTATTTTGTTTTCATTTGGACTAGGTTATGAACTGCAAATTGCATTTTCAAAGATGTATATTTTATGTGTATATATATATTACTTTGCATTCAAATTAGTCAAGCGTAATTTATTCAAAAGGCTCACAAATTTTTAAGTCTGAATGCCAAAGTGCAAAAAGCAGCAAATTACAACTTCATTGAGTTTGCAATTAGTGTTATTGTTTTTTTTAAAATAGTCATCTTACCAAGGTTACAAGAATATTACATTGGACAGTCCCATAATTTAATGAAAAAGAATATTTTTCCACAGGGTGGCAGTGTGATACAAACAGCTTGCTTGTTTTACGCTTCAAGATCAAAACCAGTTACTGTGTGTGTATAACTTGTGCTTGTCTTTAATGTTTTACTGTGCAAGATTTTTACATGCAAGGACATGGCCTAGAGACTGCTTTAACCACAGTGCTTTGAAAAGCTTGTTGTAGACTTGGTCATAAGAATTTAACTGCTCAAGGGTTTGAGAAAACTATTCTAGTGACTTGAGAAGGACTCCTAGCAACTTTAAAAAAAAATTCAATCAGATAATACTGCACTGTCTTTTTAAAATTCTCAGTGGCTGTTCTGAATTACTGATTTATTTGCAACAAAAAATCAATTAGTCTTAAATTTATTCATGGATTTCAGGCCTAGCGATCAATGCAAGTCCACTCAGCAGGCTCAAGGGGACCCAGTTCATCCTAGTTAATGTGTCTGAAGGGGAATTACCATTGATGCTGTTTTCTCTTCCTCAGGTCAGAGATCAGATCTCACTGTCATGGTCTGTGACAGCAAAAAATGACTTCACCCTGCAACTACCCAAATTGCAGCTGGAGACCTTCGAAGCAAAGGGGCTGAAGGATGGACTCGAGGTTGCTTCATTCCAGGTTAGGGTCTGTCGCAGAGCATAGAGTTAATCTCAAACTCAGGAGCTGATTGTTTATTATGGCTTAGTGATTCACTGATTGATTTCATTTGCTGTCAGTTAAAGCTCCCTTAATGTCAGTTTTCTTTGCATAATGCCTTGAAACAAAGGCTGATGAAGTTCCCAGATTGAAGTAGCTGACATAAACTGACCCTGATTTGCCCTATTCTGCATGGTAATTTAAGCAAAAGCAGTTACTGGAAATGCTGCCATGAATATGAAAACTACCACTGTTATCAAGCTAGAATATAATATTTCTGAATGCTGAGAAAAAGAAACCTTAATATAAATGTGCCTGTGACACATACATTTTACCATACTACCTTGTAACAGAAAATTGTGAAGAAAAATATCAGGAGAGAGAAAATCAGACATACATAGTATTACTGTATCATGTATTGCATGTTTTAAATAGTTCATGAACAGGTTATTTGCTTTTAGAGAATTCTGTGATTGTCCATTGGCTCAGGAAATTTACACAGCTGTGTAAGTTAGTGAATGTTAGTTTGAAAAATGATGAGATCCTGCAAACCTCCACTAATTACACCAGGGTGCTTAGTTCTACACAGAATCACCAAATTTAAAATTTGTATATATAATCAATTATTAGCAATTTTCAATTATGATCGACTACGATTTTTAAAAAAGTGAATGAAAGAAGTGCTGGTTGAACATTTGAAAACATTTAAAATCAACTGTAAACCTATAACCCCAGTGGAGAGATAGGTAATGGCAAAAGTGTGTTAAATAATGACATGAAATTGCCTTAACAATCATATAATCAAGGATATGAACAACCTACTTTGTTTAATTATTATCACCACTTGTTAAATTAATAGACTGGTAAGTATAGGAATGTGTTCATACTCAACTGGTCTTTCTTTTTTTGTAAAAACATTAAAGTCATAGTGTGTTTCCAAACTGCCTGGTTTGAATTATCATGACCACAGCACTATTACCAGATCACAGATCATGTAATGTAGCAAACACTCAGTAACAAAAACTATTTGGAGAAAATTTCATTATTGGTCTTTTCATTTCCATGTTATAAAAACATTGTGGACAATCTGGCTCATCCCAGTATTTGAAACTTACCATGGGGGGCACGGTGCATCAATTTGTGTTGGCATTATGCCCGAACCATTCCAAGGTCAACAAACTACTGGTAAACTCAGGGTGCCAGGTACGTGGTTTTACACGCACTGTCTAGTTTCAGCAGGTGGAAGCTTTTGGAGAGCTGCTGCTCTGGAGTCCAGTTAGTTAAAAAGAGCTACATGATTCCTGAGACTTCTTTTGTTTGAGCAATCTCCAGTTGTGTCTGCAAAGAGCCACTGTTTAACTTACTGGAAATAGTGTGGACACAAAATGTGCACCACTAGTAAAATGCCGCAAAATTGCATCTGGGCATAGGATGCAACTTTGTGTTTTTGCAGATGCCCACTCGCCATAAGCGAGCAAACTCTTTGCCCACTTACAGATGTGTGCTAGTCAGGTCTCTCACATATTTACAGACCTGTATCAATCAGGCCCTTCATTTATTTACACACTTGTAAGAGACAGCCTTTAACTTGACCTCAATGCCATATCAGATGTTCCTCTCCACCATTTACAGACCTGTATCAGATAAGCCTCTCGCCCATTCCCAGAGTAAGAAAAGTAATATCTCAGGAATGCTTGGAAGAGAGTGTATTGGTTGCATTAGACTCCATTTTGAAATATACACAATGAGTGAGACCAGAGTGTCTCATCCACCAGTTTTGCTAGTTTCTCCTTCTGATTTACAGTTCCATACAAAACAGTCCTTCTGCCCATTTACAAACCTATATCAGATGGACCTCCATTTGCAGATGTATAGCAGAGGGCCTCCTTGCTCGTGTACATGCCAGTATCAGGCAGGCTTCTTGCCCATTCACAAACTTAACAAAGAACAATGTGGCACGAGAACAGGCACTTCAGTCCTCCAAGCCTGCGTCACCACATTTTGCCCTTCCATACTAAAACTGTCTTCACTTACAGGATCTGTATCCCTCTATTCCCTTCTTATTCATATATTTATCCAGGTGCTTTTGAATGCTTCTATTGTGTTTGCTTCCACCACCATCTCTGGCAATGCCTTCCAGGCACTCATCACCCTTTGTGTGAAAAACATGCCTCAGACATCTCTTTTAAACTTCCACCCTCGCACCTTGAACCTGTGTCCCCTAATAATTGACTCCTCCACCCTGGGGAAAAAGCCTCATATTTTCCACTCTATCCATGCCATTCACAATCTTATAAACTTCTAACAAGTCGCCCCTCAACCTCCTGTGTTCCAGTGAAAACAAGCCCAGTCTAGCCAACCTTCCTTCACAGTCAAAATATCCCACACCAGACAATATCCTGGTAAACCTTTTCTGTACCCACTCCAAAGCATCCACATCCTTCTCATAGTGTGGTGACCAGAACTGTATGCAATATTCCAAGTGTGGCCTAACTAAAGTTTTATAAAGCTGCAGCATAACTTGTCTGTCCTTTGTACTCAATGCCCCTTCCAATGAAAGCCAGCATGCCATTAGCCTTTTTTACCACCTTGTCTACCTACGCTGCTACCTTCAATGATCTGTGGACCTGTATACCTAGATACCTCTACCTATCGATACTTCTAAGGGTTCTGCCATTGACTGTATAATTTTCGTCTGTACTTGACTTTCCAAAATGCATCACCACACATTTGTCAGGTTAAATTTGATTAAACTTGCAGTAGACATGCCTTCGTCTTTCTTGGATTGACGGAGATGCCTCCGGTCCCCCTCCAAAAAATTGTCTAGATGCATCTTCCAGTCAAAGAATGGGCAGCCAGCAGTTGCTAACCATTACCTCTACAAACCCCAATCTTTACCTGCACAAGTCATTTTCGTATTACATCATTCCTTAATCTGCCAATAGAATCTCTTTAGCTTGCTATTGAAATAGAAAACTGCTCCTTGTGGAGTAAGTTCTGTATATTCCCCACTATTTGTATTAAAACGTACACGTTTTGACCTTATCTCTCCAGTTTTCATTCCCTGGTTACACAGTTTGCAATTTGTCAAACAATAGTTTGACAAGTAAACTTGGCCTCTCATCTCCACTGGTTAAGTGGCAACGAATCTTTATTATAACGAAAATCTGGTGTACTGAGTTAAGAAAGATTCAATAAGTTTCAAAGCACCGTATCTATGCTTACCACTTTTTCTACAGTTTTGGACCCTGGATAGGACATCAATAAATATGGTGACTCTTTAATTAATGTTTTAAAAAAATCTGAGTGGTTTCATACCTCTTATTTCCTTTGAACAGGTTATTTTAAGGGGGTTAGAGAATGCAATTCTCTCTATTTTGTTAGAAAGAAATAGGCAATTTTTGAAAATAGACTAATTTGAAACATTGTAATCTGTGCAATTACGGTGCATTTAATGAAAATTATTTCAAAGTAAAATACATTTTTTAAAGCTATTGGAATGAACATGCTGTCTTTGATAGTTTTAACGAAGCAGAGTGAGTGCCAATTTTCATCGTCATTTCTGCTTTGAGTACTCCTCCCCTCCAAAAATGAATTAAACAGTACAACTCAAAAGGCCAATTTATCTTGTTAATGGTCAATATAAAAAAATGATGCAAAATTATTTTTGAAGGAATAGCAATCAAAAAGTGAATATATCTTATTGGAACTGAGAACTGGTGTCTTTAATTGCAAAGATGACAAAAATTTTGGAGTAACTTGAGAAAGGCAAATAGAATATCGAAGTTTTCAATTTATGTACAAGGATTCTGTGCCCATTAATGAGAGAAGTACCAGTTGTGATGTGATCATTTTTGAAGGTGGTATGCTGTACATCTCAGAACTATTTTCAGTTGATACAAGAGCACACAAAAGAGGTGATTATCAATGTAAAATTACATTTTGGGTTATGCCATTTATATTTACAGAGATATTTGATGATGTGTTTACAGTTCAACATTTTGCAAAAGCAAAACGTACAAGTCACCCTTTATTGCTGCATTATTGACTTTATCCAGTAAGTAGCTGAATCCAGCTAACTAGCTAGCAATGGGAGAATAGAAATCATCAGCCAGTCACAATTAATACCCAGATAGCTGGAGTCATCAGTAGCCACCAACCACCAGATGCCACCTAGCAATCACTTGCATGACTTCCATTATATTTATAAGTTCAATGGTACAAGCCAGCTGTCCTTTGTGCCTGTCTTCTGGTACTAATGTTTGTTTGTCTCCTACTGCTGCTTGATCTGTACCTGCTCTGACTGTTATGCAGCCAAAAAATAAATGTATGCTTGTCAGCCAAATGTTTGAAGTGGCACATGCAATAAATTGGCATTTATCATTTATACCTTTTAGCAGAGTGTACTCTGGGAGTACAAAGGGCTTCAAAAGCAATGATTTTTATTCCCTTATTCACCCTTTCTATACCCCTCATGATTTTTCAAACCTCTATAAGGTCACCCCTCAACCTCCAAAGCTCAAGGGAAAATAACCCCAGCCTATTCAGCCTCTCCCCATAGTCAACTACATTATTTGGGTCTGGAGTCAAGGGTAGGCCAGCCCAGGTAAAGATGGCAGATTTTCTGCCCTAAAGGGCATTAAAGATCCAATGGTTACATGGTTGCCTCAAGGCTAATTTTTTATTCCATAATATTATTGAATTCAAATTTCACCATCTTCAAAGCGTGTTACTGGAACATTAGCCTGGGATTTTAGATTACTCGTGCAGTGGCATTACCAATATGTCATGTCTCCACTGTCTGTATTTGGAGTGACCATTCTGTCATTGCCAGCTATATGGGTAGTGTAAAAAGGCTTCAACTGAGATATGCAGCGTGGTCTAAAGAGGTTTGGAGGGTAGATAACCATCAAACTTCTGCTGGCAGCGGCATTGAAAGTCACTGCTGCTTTCGAGTTTTAGATCACATGGATCTCAAATCATCCAGGAGCTGTTCACTTTCCTGTAGAACTTTACTATATAAATACTTTATATACTTTACTAAATAAATAAACAAAGCTGTGTGTCACAATGTATCCCCATTTACATAAGATACAGCAATAATCAGAAACAATAATTGGCTGTGCAGTGCCAGTTCCACACTGCTGTTTTCGCTGAGTTATGACACAAAGTGGCATCAGCTGTGAATAGGCTGTGTGCCACCAACAGCATACTTCAGAAAATTTATACAGAAAGTCTATTACTCTGTGAATATGTGAACAAGAATCCACTCTTGTGTATGTATGTCATTCTTTTCTGTGCAAGGCTGTTGGCATGGTGAGGGAGTGTGAATTATGCTTTCATTATGAAGAAATCAAACATGCCACAGCTGTTTGAGAGACAGGGATTGATGACTGACCCTCTTGAGCTAGGTGGTCCAACCAATGTTATCAGCACGTTTGTACAAACCCTCCATATGCCAGCAGTGAACTGATACAGTGAACACTTAGGCAAACTAGAGCTTCAACGTACACACATTGAAGCCCATGGGGTTAAGGGACATTTGTAGACTGAATAAAAAATCGAATAGGGGACAAAAAGAAACAGAGCAGTGGTTTAAAAAAATGGAAGCATATACAGTGGATTTTTCAGGATCAAGATTGGAACCATTGCTCATTTGGCAAATATGCATGGACTGGACATACAGGACATCATTTTAAAATTTATAGACAGATAAAACTCAGAAACGCAGTGAACAAGTTTGAGGGTGGTAACAGACTTCAGGAGGCATAAAGCTTGTCAGGTGGACAGAAACTAGGCAGATGACATTCAACACCATGTCAAGTGACACTCTTTTGGCAGCAAGAATAGAGAGACACGTAATGAACCAAATGGTATAAGTTAAAAGCAGTTGCTGAAACAGAGACACGGGTGTATGTACATAAATCTATGAAGATGGCAGAACAAGTTGAAAATTAAATTTTTCAAGAGTCGAATTTTGGACTTTATTAATAGAATACAAAAACAAAGAAGATTTTATAAAATACTAGTTAGGTCTTAGCTGAAGTAATGCATTCAACACAGGACACCACACCTTACAAAACATGCCATGACCATAGTGAAAGTACAGAAGAGTTTTACTAAGATGGTGATTGGGATGAGGAGAAGCTTTGGTATTTATAATCTATTTAATCATTGAATGCTGTATGAAATTACTATTTTGTTGAATAATTTGTTTTAAGACAAAAGCTATTGATTATTTTCTCTATGTATTTTTGTCATAGTCAAATCAGTAAAGGTTTCCCTTCTGTTATTGAATATAATGCTTTGTTTTTCTTCATTCGCGGTCTAATGTTGTACATGATACTTGATAAAATAACATTCCACACTTGTGAGGAATTTCTGTTTCCAGGTGTAATCATTATGTTAGCTGTGTTCCCAGCTTAATGTTGCATAAACATTCCTTTTAATGATTTTGATCTGTATATATCAAAAGAGTGCCAATTGTATGGCAATACAACATATACTTATTACCTGGACTAATTTTACCTCAGGTTTCAAATACATGATTTCAAATACAGAAGCACCAAAGCTGGAGCAGTCTCTAATTAGCACAGTCAGGGGGTACTGTACTGTACTGTACTTAGGAAGCTTTGGAAAATAACTTTTGCTGGGAAGTAGAAAAGTTCCAAAGGGAAAACAATTCTTTGAAGAGCGAAATATAGTTCACCTGTTATGAAGAACTCCATTAATCCCAACTGTATTATAGTAATGAGTGAATATAAAGTTACCAGCGCTACTGTACCATTTTGACTCGCTTCTGCAGTTAACTTTATTATCTTGCCTGATCAATAGTATACAGTTGGGACAGCAGTTCTCCATAATACACATAAACAGAATTTTATTTCCTGTTTTTTTGACATGGCGTAGTCAGGCTATGCTCTGATATCTGTATGCCACTTTAAAACTAATAATTTACCAAGCTTATAAATGATGAGAAAAATTATTTCACTATGTGGTTCACCGACAGGATAAGACATCATATTAAAATGTTCAGGTTGACACTTTTGTCACAGTATAATGTTGTTGGTTATAACAGTTTTGCTGTCAGAAAGTTACAGGATCTTGACTCCTGACATTCCTACGCCATAACGCTATATTGTGTGTTGTACGTTATAAGCACATACCTCAAAAAACACAGTGCTTTGCTGAAAAGAATTGTGATATAATCAATGTGAAGGATATTTGCAAAATGGAGTTGTTTAAAACTTGGAACTGGCGGTCAAATTATTTTTCAAACCCTATCATATCAATAAAAAAAGGTAAAAATGTGCTTTATCAAATGCTTTGTGAAATATTTCTGTATAAGCTTAGTCATTGTTGATAATTACCTTTGTCTTATTTTTGCTCTGTTTCCCTAGAATTTAACCCAGACTTTCATGGACATTTACCAGCTGGCTAGCTCCAGGGTTACTGCTCTGGAAACAGAAATCACTTCACATCAAAAACACATTGCAGCTCTCAAATCAGAACTTCAGACTGCGTGCCTGCGTGAAAATAATGGCTTAGTTCCAGTAAGTGTCTGTTTTCACACATAATGCTTTGCAGGTAGGTCACCCCTAAATTGTCAGCACCAGATGTATGATGACTATCACTTGCTATAATATAAGCAAATACTTTTGTATATTGCAGCCATTTTGGACTTCAACAAAATATATTTTGTTATATCATTAATATATATGCTGTGAAAAGACATTAATTTTGATTAACACGGTAAAAAAATTTCATAGAATCTCTACAGTGTGGACCAGGCCATTTGGTCCATCGAATCTATACTGACCGTCCGAAGAGAATCCCACCCGGACCCACACTCTACCCTATCCCTGCATTTCCCACCCTAGACACTATGGGAAATTTAGCATAGCCAATCTGCCTAAACTGCGCATCTTTGAAGTGTGGGAGGAAACTGGAGCACCCAGAGGAAACCCATGCAGACACAGGGAGAACATGCAAACTCCACACAGACAGTTGCCTGAGGCTGGAATCACACCAGGTCCCTGGCGCTCTGAGGCAGCAGTGCTAACTACTGAGTCACTGTGCCGCCCTAAAATGCATGAACGTTTTCCATTGCACTATAATCACTTATCGAACAACCATTCTGGAGAAAATTATGTTTTGTTAGGTCCTTAATAATTAAGCCAGCATGAAATTCGCTAATGTAGCTACATTTAAAGACTTCCAATGCCTCAAATTAAGCAAGTAGGAAGTGCATGCTCACCACATGCCAGAAGTGGGAAGACCGCCATATTAATAAAAGCTGAAGAAAACTTAGGCATGTTGCACCTACACCCAAAGCAAACCTTCAGTCCTTTGTGCAAATGAGCGACCTAATGATTGTTTGAGGAATCCACTACGAGATAAGTTTAGCTTCAACTGCCTGATCTTGGATAGACCAGTTGTCTGCTGGTCTCATAATGCTCACTGTTGACCTCAAAATAAAGCTGACAACAGAGATCCAGCAATATCTGCAGCATTTTACTTTTCTACACCACAATTTTAATCTGCCAAAGGACAAAGGGTCTCCAGATGTGTTGAGGCAGTGATGGTAAGCAGCCAGTCATATTAAAACTTTTACACAACAAAACCACAAAATTAATATTCATTAAATTTGTTATCTGAAAATATTCAATTAAATGATTATAACTGGATGAATGTAGAAGCTAAATTAAAGATAGTTAACCTTTTGTCATGGAAGTTTATTTTTTCTAAAAAAAGTTGAATTTTATGTTGTTACGGCAAAATTTGACATTTACAAATACAAAAATAACTTTTCAGGGCCAATGAGGGTCTTTAACAGTAAATATGAAGTTCATAAAGCATTGAAAACCAATTACACCTCATTCAATAAGGTTTAACTTTTTTAAGCAACGGTGGGGGTTTGCATCAATTCAATTGATTTTCATTAACTGTAGTCTGGGATGCCTCAACAGCGCATCTTCTGGAATAATGTAAATTCATTGACAGCAGCTTCTAGATTTCCGTATTATTCTGCAGACTATAGAAGTTGCTGACAGCTTCAGTGGGGTAATTACAGTGAATGCTGAGGGTTTCGCCATCATTACTACTGCAAAATCTGGGCCAGTGTATTTCCCGTTTTCAAAATAAGTACAAGGTTTTCAATCTTAGATCCAAAAATTAGTCAGAAAATGAAATGGAATGGATTTGTTGAAGATTAAATATTAAATGGATTAAAATTAATGTCATTTAAAATGACATTTTTGGATGGAGAAAATTGCTGATTTTGTCATCTTGGATGTAAAATAAGACCAGTTAATTGGTTAGTTTGGTTGCTAAGAGAATTCTATGGGGTATACTTTACTGAGGTATACAGATAAAATGAAAACAGCTATTAGAATCTGAACGGGAATTAGGGACGTTCATAAAAATTGTGCCTTGTGAGGCAACTTCAATGCACTATTTTGGTATATTGAAAATTCTATTTCATACTATTAGTTTGCAAATAATAAATATTTCATGGTGTGAAAATTAATTTTAAGCATGCTGTTCACATCTAGCACTTACAAATAATCTGTGCTTTGCTTCATAGTAGCTTTCTGTAAGTTTGTAGCTATAGGCCTTTGGAAATTTATTCTATTTTATGATCATGATCAAAGAAAAAGGAAAATATTACAAAAGGACACAGATTCAAGCTACTAAAGAACCAAATTTATGGCTGGCATCAAGAAGTCCTTTGCAGAGCGAGAGTGCATAATGTGGATTTTTGCATAGAGTAGTGTAACAAAGCCTTTCATTTATTTTGCACTTTTAATGTAGTAAAATGAACCAAGGTACTTCACATGAGTGTTATCAAACAGAATTTGGCACCAAACCACATTTGAAAGTAGGGATGAGAATTTTAAAGTCGAAATGCAGGTGCAAACTTCAGAATCAGTAGATACAGCAGCTTTAAGCACTTTATTGATAAATGGATTAAGGTGAAAAAAATAACATTTCGTCTGCAACAAGGGACTGCAACGTTGTGATTTGAAGTAAAAATGCTATTTAGCATTTTTAGACTTTGAGAATGTGTAAATATTCTTGTTTTATTATCCTCCCTATATCTTGATAAGATCAAAACATTAGCAAAAGATGACATGAGGAGCACAGGTTCTTTTAATATATTTCTACTCCAAATTCTTTGGGTTTTATTTTCCCCTCTCTGGAGGTGCAAAGAAGTGGAAAGAGGTGTAAATAATTGGGCAGTTGGCCCTGGAAAGATATTTTTTTCCACCACCTCAGCAATTAATTTCTGAATGAGAAGGTCTCTTCTCACCCCACAACCAATTGTTTCCCGTACCAGCAGTTAAGAAAAATGACTGCATTCCATACAGGGAAACCGGAGCGATTTATATCTGTGGTAGCCAAATTTCTTTAGAGATTTACAGAATATTTAGTTCTGGAGATATAGTTGATGACCCTCAGTGGATCGGCTTTTTGTGTAATAGTCTACATGGTCAGTTGCTTGTACAATGTTGTGCCAGATTTACTAATATTTCCAAGTTAGAAGGGAAGAAAACTGCATTGTCGATTACCTTTGTAAGATCTGCAGGTTTAATGATGAAGATGTCAAGTAAGTTCAGAATAAAATTAAGCATTCAGTGTTCAGGAGTAAGAAGCTTTTTGCAAGTTTCAGGATCAAAGGTGCTCAGGTTACTTACCTGTAGGATTTGCAGCAGGAACCAGTAAAAAGAAGCATAGAAGCTATTGAAGAACTTAGATTATGAGAAAAGGACAAAATCTTATGATTGAAACCTTGTTTATGTGCACAAAGTAAGTGCATCGTGTAGGCCTGTATATAGAACCTGAAGTGTGGAAGCATACCATCAAAGAGATCAGATATCTTCAAAGCAGTAGCATTATTCACTTAGCTAGGCATCCAACTTAACCTGGAGAGTTCTCGGTTGATATTTTCCCAGAATATCACTATCTTAAGATAGCTGTGCCAGCAAAAATAATCCCAGGCTGAGAAGTAGCTAATATCAGTTAAATTGGATAGTCATGCAAAAAGCCTCAAATCCAGTAGATGAAACTTTGTAATCCTAAATGCCACAAGTTTCATGCTTCCATTGCTTTTGAATCTTTGATGTAATAATCTCTGAAATATTCTCATAACTCTTTAATGCAATGGATGAATTATGTCTTGATGCTTTCCTAATATTCAGGCCAATTATTCAAAATAATTGGTAGAGAGTTGTGTTTCTTTTCACTATTTTGGGAAACAATGGACTGTTACCTCTGTTTTAGGATGGCAGTTGGAAAGTAGTCCACCAAACCCAGCCACAGTAGACCCATGTTGAGGTTGGTTGGCTCGCCGAGCTGGTTTGTTGTTCCGCAGACGTTTCGTTACCGTGCTTGGAACATCCTCAGTGCAGCCTCTGATGAAGCGTCGGTGTGTTTTCCTGCCTGGTTTTTAAACTCTGGGGTCAGTTGCGATGGATTGCCTCACTTCCGGGTTTCCTCCATAGTGGAATGTATATGGGGTCGAGTTCAATGTGTTTATTAATAGCCTGCTTCGTGGAGTGCCATGCTTCCAGGAATTCTCGTGCTTGTCTCTGCCTAGTCTGTCCCAGGATCTTGGTGTTGTCCCAGTCGAAGTCGTGGTTCTCCTTGTCCATGTGGATTGAGATGAGTGAGTATTGGTCGTGTCTTTTTGTAGCCAGTTGGTGTTCATGTACCCTTGTTGTTAGTTTCCTTCCTGTTTGTCCGATGTAGTGTTTCTCGCAGTCTCTGCAGGGGATCTTGTAGATGACGTTGGTCCTGTCCATGGCAGGGAGTGGGTCTTTAGTTCGGGTGAGCACTTGTCATGGGTTGATCAACCCTCAACACCCACAACCCGAGCTACAGATCTACTCCAAAACCTTAGTAGACCCATACATAAAAATATTTAACAAATGAAGAATACTGTACTTCGAGGTAAATAATCTGCCACCTTGGTGAAATGAGTTATCCATGAAGAATATTTGATTATCACGTGCCAAATTTATTCTTTTTTAAATAGAATCTGTTTTTATATTTCTTGTAGGTATTTTTCAATAACTTTTCACAATCTAGATTAATTTGCTTTAAACCTTGTATCAAACCAATAACACAAAATAACACAGAGGGAAAACAACTATTTAGTCATGTGAGCCAATAAATTTAGAAGCAATTTTTTTGGAAGCAAAGTTGCCATAATGTTGTTTTTGCATTCAATGTTAAATGTATGGCTACAAAGACTTTTAATAAGATTTTTCATCTGATAGTACACTTCATTCTTTTATTAATATTCTCCAGCAAACCTACTGACAATTAAAACCATCAGATGGAAGGTCATGCAATAAATCTGAAATATCTTGGCAAAAATTGCGTATTCATTGTGAGCTGCAGTTATAGTATAGTAGTATTGTGCAAATAACATGTCATTTTATGAAAACGGATGACACAGTTGGCTAAGGCAGCCTTGCTTAATGCAGGACATTCCATTTTGAACAAAAACAGAAGTTCCCAGAAAAGCTCAGCAGGTCTGGCAGAATGT